CCAAAAAAGTTGTATAAGTGAGTCCAATATTAGCAGCCCATAAACATAGTTTGCATAAGCCCATTCCCATGTAAAGGCATTCATCCCCATGTAAAGGCATTCTCAAGTCTCAACTGACCCAATTTCAGTTGGAAATTAGTGTTATAAATTAAAATATTTTTATTATAGAGAGAGGGATCCAAATTAAAGCTTTAGGATGTAACAACCCAAAAAGACTCCCAATTTAACAATCCTTTGTTGTTCTCAGATTCACCTTCTTTGCACCTACCTACCAGGCCTTTGAAACTTTTACATTTCCATTCATATCCTCTTCCCTTTATGCATCACCTTCATGTTCTTCAAGATCTAAAGCTTTAATTGGGAGTCTTTTTGGGTGGCTACATCCTAAAGCTTTAATTGGTAGGTGCAAAGAAGGTTAATCTGAGAACAACAAAGGATTGTTAAATTGGGAGTCTTTTTGGGTGGCTACATCCTAAAGCTTTAATTTGGATCTCTCTCTCTCTCTATAATAAAAATAGTTTAATTTATAACACTTTTTGTCCTCTATAAATCTCTTGTTTCGAAACAAATATGCTTGTGGTGGTAGGTAGTTGTTATCGTTATTTGAAGATGCTTGCTTTCCTCCGGCTCTCTCTTCCTAATTGGGAGCCATTGGAGATACTTTGAAGGAAGCCCGAATCAGCAGTAGAAGAGATACTGTCAGATTTTTTGCCATTTCTTGAGAATGGTATTTCTCTTCAAGTTGTTTGGTGTTGGAATCTATGAAACAGGATTTAAAGGTTAATTCGAGGGGTAGAGAGAGAGGGGGTTTTGGTGAACATAATCTGAGCCTTAGCTTTCTTGGCTCAAGTACTTGAGACTCTAGACATGACTGCAAACCTTGGCACACAATTGTTGCCATAAGGAGAGGTTTACGTTAACAAAAATTTCAGTGACAAAAAGACACAAAGATCACTAAAATTCCGCGATAAAGGATGTATGGAGGCAGAGGAAAAACAGAGGATTTAGGCTTTGGGATAGTGATAAAAGGATTGTTGGAGGGAAGAGGCTTTATGATATTGACTTTAATCATAGAATTGAGATTAATAACACTAATTTCCTACAGAAATCTCATGTGGGTAGAAGAAGTTGGGTCAGTTGAGAATGTCTTTACATGGGGATGAATGTAGTTAAAGAGAAAGACAGACGGGTGGTACCATACTTTAAATGGTTTAGTTAAAAGTTGAATCAATGGGGAAAGACAAAAGAACTTTAGGGTTAATTACATTTTATCCCTATGGTTTGGGTTTATTAACATTCAGGACATATTTATTTACTATCAAAATCATCCTCCTGACTCACTGACGTTAATATGAAACTAACAGATGAATGGCATATTTGACTTTTCAATAAAATATAAAAATAATTTATTAAAAATTCTGAACGAAGCCAGGATTCAAAAGTCCTCTCTCTCGTCTAGTTTAAGATTTTCGTTCTTGTCAATCCAGCCTGTTCTTGGGTACAAGTTCCTCTTCTCATCTATTTCTCACCTGAAATTGTTTGGAATTGTTATTTTTTATTTTGAGTTTCTTCTGTCGGGCTTGGAATTATTTTGTTTTTAACATGGATTACTAGAGATTAAACGGGGTTGTGCTGATGGTGTTTTTTATTTTGTCCATCTCACTGATTTTTTTTTTTTTTAATTTTAAGATGAATTGATGAAGAGGAAAGTTGGTTTACGGGTGAAAATGATGGACAATTTTCTTTGGATAGTTTTATGTTTTCGTTCTGGCATGGCCAAATTTTTGAGATGTTCTTTTAAATTCAACAATTTCTTTTTTTATTATTATTTCAAAATCTTTTTAAGGATAATTTGTTTTGACTCAGAAGCTTTTAAGGGCATTTTTATTCTATGTCAATTAACCTACTTATATAATATAACATCTGGTAGTTTCAAGGACTCGTTCGCTAGTAAAAAATAAATGTATCATATATATATATATGATCAAGGGTGTTTAAGTTAGATTACGTATACCTCAACTAATCCTCCAAGACCTTAGAATTATTGGCTAGATACGAGTTCCAGTGACCACTCCTATTAGCAATCGTGAAGACTTGAACTTGGAAGACTATCTTAGATCCTTCTTTTACTTTTTTACCTTTAAAAAGACTCGAACTTGGAAGACAATTGTATCATGGGTTTTTAGTTTTAGTTAGAGTAATACTAGCCTTACAAAGAGACATACAAAGAGTCAAATCTATCCCCTGAAAGAAGGGAAAGAAAGAGAGAGAAAGAGACAATTATGAATTTCAAAGGCTGGATTTGACTCTTTATATGCCTCTTTGTAAGACTAATATTACTCTTTTAGTTAACCTATAAGTCAGGGCCGTCTGAGTTTTTTCCGTACGGGAAATTGTGGCTAACTTTCCTTCAGTTTGTCAACATCTTTACTTACCTCCCTTGGAGCAAGAAATTTAAGTGTCAAAATTAAATAATTTATGTAACACATTTATCCCTTAAATACATTTTAAATTTATAAATTTACCCTTATCATAATCTTTAAATTTCAAATTTGTAATCCATTTTACCTTGACCATTGGACCCTCAATTTTATTGGGGATTCGAGCTGATTCACTATTAAGTTCTAATTGATCCACCGATTTGCATTTCTTATTTTATACCATTTTCATCATCTAATTCAAACATTTAAAGGTATGTTTGGTTGAGAGTTATATATGATTATCGAGGTAATGTCATCTTATATTACTTGATTACCGTGTTTGGTTATCAAGTAATATACGATTCTGGTAATCTTCTAAAACTAATAGTAATTACTATTAGTAATCTCCATTTTCTTAAGCATTTTAAGATTACTTGGTAATCTTATTTTTGTTATAATTTTACCCCTTAACTTTTAAAATTTTTTGAACAATAATGCTCTTGTTTTAAAAATAATTTACAAAAATATTAGTAGACTCTTTCATTCTTATATGCAAAAATTTTAGGATATAAATACCCTTGGACTTTAAAAAAAAATCACCCAAGGGTGGTGGCCAGATCTGGCCATCACTGCTAGCAACCGATCGACCGAATTTGGTCAATCGTGCACCAATCTAGCCATTTCTGGGTTTTTGGCTGTTAGCGACTGCTAGATCTGTCTTTAAGGTAACATAATAAAAATATAATAATGTTAGGTCCACAATCCAATCTCACAACCCTCGACGTGGCAACTTGTCATTGATTAGCTTGCAAATGAGCAAGTGGGACCCATACAAGCAGACGGGACTTATTTTGCGAACTAGCCATCAGGTGTTGTGAGATTAAGTTGTGAACATAACATTACTCATAAAAATAATATTATATTAATATTTAAAAAGGAAGACAATTTAATAAATTATATAATATAAATACCAATTTATTTCTTTCAACCAAATACATTAATATAACATACCCACTAATTTAACATATTAATATAACATACTCATTAATTTATTCCAATCAACCAAACACATTCTCTTAGGGTCTGCTTGGGAGGTTTATGATAGCGGTTATGAGGGTAAATCATCGTAGCGGTTTTGAGGGTCAACCACCGTAGCGGTTTTAAGGGGTTTTTAGTAGCGGTTTTTTAAACACCCAACCTATACTTGAGAGTTTATTTTCCGACGGTTCTGACAGTTTTTAAAATGATAAATTTACATATATGCCCATAAAAATACCCGAACTTCAACCAGTATTTGGGAAAATTTTTTTTTTCAATTACCAATACTTAGTATCAAAGTTCCCTCCAAGTTTAATTTATTTGTAAGTTCTTTCATTATATATTATTTAATTCATCATACAATCATTCGAAATCTGTCATTTTAAGAGAATAAATATATTGCCACAATATTGGACTTCGCAAATTATCAATATAATAGCCGCAATATCATTTCTAAAAAACTGTTTTTTGTTCTTTTCTTCAACCAATGAAGCAGAGTTATCAAAAACAATCTTTATTTAACAAACTGACAATGATTCAATCAATCACCTAAATGCAAATAGAAAGAATCAAATAGAGGAAAAACACCTAATTTTGTAAAACAACTGGTAAAGAAATGCAATTAAATTGTATATAGCCTGTAAAGGAGTTTACCAGATTAAAAGAACAAAAAGTTAAAGGGGAAAATGAAGAAGAAAGAAAGAAAAACCTTCATATCTCTAATGAAAGATTAGAAAACCTAAGATAAAAGATTTAAAAGCATTGTAACAGTCATCTAAAAGTTGAAGATTAAATGGGGTTTGAAGAAATTTTTAAACCAGCAAAGGGATTATTGTATATGAATAATAGTGGAAAGAGGTTTTTTTGAGATAAAATTTTTAAATTAGACAAAACACTCATATTTGAGATGTTTTATAAACCCCTCAAAAATACACTACACTAGTTTTAGGGAGTTTTTAAACTAGTCAAAGTCAATCTATAAAAAATCTGACAAGTAATGATTTTTAAATACCTCAAAACCAGTCTAATTAAAAACCTCCTAAAACCAATAAAAAAAAAAACCCTCTCAAACAGACCCTTAAATATCTTTAGTAATCCATATTTTTATTAATATATCATTATCACTAATACAATATTATTCGGATCAAAGATACCCTAAATATAAACTTTATGACGTGACTCCAACTAATAACGTGCACTTTATTAATAATGTCGGATGGCTGCATATTGGTCAAAGGTTGCGGCTCCATTTGTACAGCGAGGATTGTGGAAACTCACCAGATTGGCCATGTGCAGATTACGTGTGGGTAAAACTTTTTGGCTTTTAGTTTTTGTCACCTTTTTTATTGCTCATGGTCCCCGCCGTGAATTGGAAGTTAGATGTGCAGGCTCCATTTTTTGGGTAAATTAGATTCCAAAATTTAAACTGCATTAATTCCATGTGCTTCATACCCAATCGACTCGTGTTTGTAGTGTTTTTTTGGTATGCCGAGTAAATAAAAAAAGGCGTTTCAAATTTGCATTATGATATTATTTATATATATAACTCAGAGCATGGTAGCTCCTCCCCACCATTTTCTTAGGCGTTTTCTTCATTTAGTTTCATCCAGAAAAAGTCTTTTTGACGCACTAGAAATTGATTTCTATTATTGTTGTTCATTTATCTAGACCTTTTTCTCTTCCTCGCTACTGATATATTTTCACCTTCCATTAAGAGTCTTTGACAGGCCTTCGGTGGAAGCATAATTTTTGTTGCCTTTCTAGTCGTCGTGTTGTCTCCTGTGAGTAACTTCAAGCAAAATAGACAATTTGAAAAGCTTTTAAACGAGAGTGGTGACATAAAAGTTGAAGTCTCGAGAGATGGCAGGCACCGAAGCGTGTTGATCTTTGAAGTTGTAGTGGGTGATGTTGTGTGTTTGAGAATTGAAGATCGTTAATGGCTTGTTTCGAGAATCAGCAGTTTGGCATATCACCGGTGAAAGTGACCATGTTGAGAGCGACAACAAGAGAGCCTTTTCTTGCTTTCTGGCACAGAATGGTGACAGAAGGTTATGGTTCTATGCTGGTCACTCGTGCAGGCATGAACACAACAAGAAGAGAGATGATGCTCCAATAAGCGTTGCCTTGAAAGTTGGATGACGAGACTCCACTACCTGTAGATTGCCACAACAAGCTAAACATCCTATACCCGGAAGATGAAATTGGCTGTGACCAATTGATTTTAGATGCTATATATGGTCAGTCAAAGGTAGTAGAATCATCAATTTTTTCTTTACCGAACTCAGTTACTCTCAGTTCATCCAATAAACTGACAGTGCCTATTTCTTTTGTGCAGACATTGTTGTGACTCAGCCCATATGGAGTCTCAGCTTATCCAACATGGTCAATTTCATCAGTCATAAGCTAGATTCATCCCCCTGCAAGGAGTTCCTATTCAAGAATAACACATCAGTCGGAATCTGATCACCAATTCTGAAACACACAATATCACCCACTACAACTTCAAAGATCAACACGCTTTGGCGCCTGCCATCTCTCGAGACTTCAACTTTTATGTCACCACTCTCGTTTAAAAGCTTTTCAAATTGTCTACTTTGCTTAAAGTTTCTCACAGAAGAGAGCACTTCGACTAGAAAGACATCAAAGAAGTATGCTTCCACCATCGTCTGCAGCCCATAACTTGGCGTTTTGCCACAGGGCTATCTTGTTTGTTAGGCAGCTAGGTGTGATAATAAAAGTTGAATGATGTAATACAAAAGTTGTGATTCAATTTCAACATTTAATTATCTGCAAGTTCTATAAAACGTTTGAATAATTAATAATGTGTTTAGAAATGTTTTGTGTTCACTGGGTTTTTCATTCCTAAGTTATTTCCTTTCATATTCTCCTTCTTTCTTTGAATCCAAAAAAGGAATAAAAAAGAATGATTAAATGTTAGAAAAACTGATTAAAAAACTATAATGAATTCCGGCTTAGAGGCACAAAGATCGCTTCTTGAAGACAATCGAAACCTCCCACTTGGGCAAGATTTCTGGCAGTCACTATCTTCGGGATTCAACTAAGCCATACTCAATACCAACCTAAGTGTATTTGCATTATACTCTCTTAGGCGTCGCACATAGCTTCTCAAGGTGGGTGGATCCAGGTGTCCGCCCAAATCCTATGGAACCGGAACCGTAATAGACTGATCCCGGTTCCTAAATACTTGGAACCGGAACCTAAACACAGGTTCTGGTTCCAGTTCGCATTACCCAAGAAAATTACAATTATCTCCTATTATTCACAAAAATAACAAATATACCCCAAAAATTATAAATACACCCTCAAAAGTTTACAAAAATTATAATTCAATCTTAATTCCTATCCGGATACCCAGTTTCGATTTTTTAGTACTGAAACTGACCCTGTGAGGGCCGGTTCCAAGTAAGAACCCGTCCATTCTAGTTTTACCCTATTTTTTCGCCCATCTCTACTCACAACAATGCTAAAGTAAAAGAATTTGTTTCTTCGTGTCTAATAAACTATTGTTATAATCCTTTATAGAACATAAATTATGAATTAAAATTATCAAATATCAAAACCATTGATTAATCAATCTAGATTAATATAAAATTTTGATAATAATTATCTTATAATCCAACAAATAAATACTTATCTAAATTATTATTTAAATAATTATATAATTTTTTAAACATACCCTTTAACCATTAAGACTAGCTATACTCAGGGAGTATTATGTTCAAATTATAAGAGATGTACCTATTATATTTGTGTAATTACTTTGGTCTATTAAATTTGTAAAATGTTATGTGCTCATGAGGATTAAAGAGACTCTAATGTAAGCGGGATACCTCAAATACTTAAAAAAAATAAATAAATAAAAATTTTGAAACATTATCTAACATTAAAAAGAATAGTTAGGGGGATAAACTTTTTGAGTCTAACAAAAGGACAATACGAAAGAAAAAGTTTATGATTGATAGGGAGGAAATATGACAGCTGTGCTTATTTTAGCACCCTTTGATGTAGTGGTTCGTTGAAGAATTTTACAAGAAAAGCTATTAATTAATAGCTGCAAATATTTGGTACCTAACTTGTTATCACCTAAAAATTTTTAAGGTTAACCATTAATCAAAAAGTTTATTTTGGAAATAGGAAAGGTGAAGTCAAAAGCAGCCCTCTGCCCTCTGTGTCTCTGACAGAGACAGACCACCAAATATATATGGTCAGTTTTTTAATTGGTTTGAATTGGCTAGTTGACTTCTATTATGGTAGCATTATTTGCAATTGGGTTTCATTCAGTGTTCTTGTTTTCTTGATAGTACTGACTGAAACACCGAATCTAGTGGTAGGTACAAAACTTTGTATCTCTTGATTACATAATCACACAATTTCCATAGTGAGCATAAGAACCTAATTTTTAAGAACAATAAAGTTTGATTTACAATCCACCTTATAAATTTTTTTTAATAATTTTGAGGTGATAATTCATAAGTAGGTAGATATGACTCGTAATTGAGTATACAAGACTTGTAATTGAATAAACAAGACTTATTACGAGTTGATCAATTAAAACTACTATATCGAGATTGTAAGAAAAAATTTATAAAATTTGGTTATTAGTGTAATATTGTTTTGAAAGGCAACTACGAATACAACAATATTTTTTCTTTTGTAAAAAAAAAAGGTTGGAGTAAAAAGCAGAAAACAGTGATATAATTTATCACTGTAAATTAGACACACATATCTAATGTTTCCCATAGCAAACAGTCAAATTCTATATTTCATTTTCGATGTGATGCTGACAAATGACAATGTCATCGTAAAATAATTGCCTATATGTAAGTGTGTGATGCTGCTATTTCACTTACTTGAGAGCAGAGAGGTGATGAATTGCAGAATAAGTTTATTCAAATGCTTCTTCAAGTTCGGTCTGCGTAAACCTTGCATTCGCTCAATCATAAGTCTCATTACATTAAGTATGAAATTAGTCATTGAGCAGAATATGTTTGTGAAAAGGGCCCAGAAAATTAATTATATGAGTCTTTGGAAGAACTTATAATGCACTCTCATGTAGGGATAGACCTTGGTGAATTTCGGATCCTGTCTGGGATACTGGATAGAAACTGTATTCAATTTAACCGTTGAAGTACTGAGAAATCTGTGCTTTAATAATTTGCATTATTAGNAAGAGTGAAAATGTAAAATCAATTCATTAAATAAAGATAAATAATGTGTCAATTAATAGATAATGTCGCGTCATTTTGTATGTAAATTTTGTAATAGTATTGGTCATGTTTGGCTTATTATTTTTATCCCTATTCCCAATCCTATTCTCCAAATAATGTTTAGCACATTATTCCAAAAAAATTACCCTATTTTTTTAATTACTTTTAGACCCCATAAGGTTATTAATTTCATCAAATACACCCTAAAAAAAAAGTTTAAAAATTATCCAAAACACCCCCGCGACCCATACTTGCCAGATTCTGGCAACCACCGTCGGTGGTAGTCGGAATCTATATAACGGTCTACCTGACGACCATAAATGGTCGAAATTTCACCGATCTGGCCGTGAATGACGGCCAAAGAAATGGCCGTCATTGATCTTGGCCATCGTTGACCGAAAACGACGGCCATAGCTGACGGCCAAAGATGGTCGTTGTTTTGGCCTTTTTCGGCCGTCGACGGCCACGGCAGGCCTTAGATCTGGCCTTTTCCGGTCAGATCCGTGGTGGATCTGGCCGGAAAAGGCCATAATGACGCGTTACAACACAGATCCGACCGGTTTGTGTCGTAACGCGATTTTTCGGCCAGATTCCGACGGTGGTGGCCGGAATCTGGCACTGCAGGTGGTGGGGGGTATTTTTGTCATTTTACATGTTGGAGTATTCATTAAATTAGCAAACTTAGGGGGTTTTTTTATAAATTTTTAAATTTTACCTCGTAATACTTCTATATTCAATTATCCAATACTATCCCCAAAATTCTATCCAAAATAATAAACCAAACACACCCATTATTGTTATCAAAATATTTTTTCTATAAAATGCTTCAAGGTTTTTTATAATCTAAGAAAAAAAAAAATATCTAGAATTTTCTTAAAGAGAAATTCAATCTTTTACCAACGTGAAAATTCACTATCAAATTTATTGAACAAAACTATTTTATGAATTAATTTTCACCTTTATTATATATTTTTAATATTTTAATTTATTATCATTTAAGTTATCCCTGCTCAAACTAAATCTTGGCTTCGTTATGGTAAACATGAATGCTATTCTAAGAGTTTAACTTAAAGAATAGTAACAATTTAACAATTTTGTTTTTGTTTTTTGTTTTTTGTTTCGCATAACATGCGTATAGAACAGTTTATATTTTCATTTTTAAAATTTGAAAATGAAGAGAAAAGAAAAAAAAAAAAAAAAAATGAAACACACCTCTATCAAATAGTAGAATTTTAAAATCTCATCATCAATATTATAAATAATTGAACACCACCTTAGCGTTGAAGATTTAGATATAAAACTTGCAACATAATTCGAGTTGGAACAAACTATCTATGACTAATTAATTAAACAATTAATTAATTAATTTGTGTTTCAAGTTGGAACAAAGCAATTTTAGCTAGCTTGTCTCATCAACTAAACATTGAAATTTCGTTTCCATGGAATAAATAATCCACTCACCAATTAATACTCTCATGCAATAAANGTTTCAAGTTGGAACAAAGCAATTTTAGCCAGCTTGTCTCATCAACTAAACATTGAAATTTCGTTTCCATGGAATAAATAATCCACTCACCAATTAATACTCTCATGCAATAAAGAACAATATTAACATAATGGACTCTAGTTTTCTAAATTCTAAATAATATTCCAATTACTATAGTTATATGTCATCTGGGATCAACATCGGGAAGTGCCTCAACTTTTATTTTGTACAGCTTGTATAAGATTCAAAATGCCTCATATATGAAAACTGAGCTTAATTTTCTTGCCTGGGATTTCCATGGTGAGTCGAATCCTTGTTTTGGATTGGGGAGTTTGTGATGATTCAAGAAAAGACTTGTATACACTCCAAGGTTTTTTTTAAATAAAAATTTTGAAATAAAACTTTTAGACCACTTACCAATACAGTAAGACGATCAGGCCGGCTCAAGGGGTAGGCAGGTGAGGCACCTGCCTAGGGCCCCCAAAAAAAAGGGGCCCAAATTTTTTATAATTGTTTTTTAATATATTTTAAAACGAAAATGGTGTATGATTTTTTATCCAGTCCAAGGGGGAAAAAAAAACCAAAAAAAACCCAAATTTATTATAAACTTTTTACATATATTCCTACCCAAAGTTTGACAAAATAACAAGTTTATACCTCTAGTTTTATATATTTCAATTTACACCCCTAAATTAACACATTGAATTTCTTTTAACAATAAAAGGTTAAAATAGTCATTTACATGTCTCAAATTACTCTACCCCAATTCCATCCCAAAATTCGACATTCACATAAATCATCTCCACCTCTCTTCCGCCGCCAGCCGTTTGGAGCTGATTCCGATCAATTTTCTCACATAAATTGACCGGAATCAGCACTTTATCATTTCCCAAGTGTTTTTCCAACCTTGATAGCCCTCGATTTAGCCCTTTTTTTACGAATCTCATAACCCAACTCCACCGCACACGATAGCCATTTCGGCCTTTTCAGCATGTACCCAGCGTTGTTGGCCTTCCCTATCATCACCATCTTCCTCCCCCCAACTCTCTCACCAAAATCCCTATCATACCTCATTTGTTTACTCCGTCAATCACCAGCCACCGATACCTTTTGGGTTGCG